CCACGGGCCCCGGGGCGTAGGGGGAGGCCAGGCCGGGGTCCGGGCGCCGCTCACCTGCGCCCACGCCTGCTTCTCCACACTGCAGTCGTCTTCCTCGCTCCTGGCCCACACATAGGACACGTAGTCTTTGGGATGCCGAAAACCCACCTGCACAAGGGCACACGAGTGAGCTGAAGAGGACACCAGCAGCGAACCCCTCTACAGCGCTTGACCCCAGCTCGGCCCCGGGGCTAGGACACAGCCGAGCCAAACGCGAGCTAAGAGGTCGGGCTGCCTGTCCTGGGAGGTGCAGCATGACCATGAGCCACGCACAGGGCTCGGGGGACACTTGCACCTACGTGGGGCTAGGGGGAGACCCGGGCACCCCACTCCCCCGGGTGCGTCTGGCCTCAGACCTCATGGACACCAGGGGCTGGGAGGAAGAGGAGGCCCCAGGACGCGACTGCCTTGCGGTTTGGGAGCGGGAGCTTCTCCAAGGGCAGCAGCCCATGGGGAGCCACTGCAGGGAACAGCAGGGTGCCCCACTCCCTCCAGCCCCAGAGGCACTACCTGGTAGAGGCCGATCCAGTCCCAGGAGCTGCGGTGGAAGCCGGTGGCCATCCTGTACCTGACCACCGCCTGCTCGGGCCGGCTCCACTCCTCAGCCACACAGATCTCCACAGCGGGGCTGTCCGCCTTGGAAGCAAACTGCCAGGACCACGCGGGCGTGAGCACAGCCAGCTCGACGCGCCAAGCGAGAGGCACCCGAGAGCCGCACGGCCTCCTGCAGGGCTCCCAAAGCAGGGGATCCTGCTGCCCGCCCTGGACACCCTGCTCCAAACCCGAGCAGGAGGAAGAGCCTCGAGCTCCTCCGCAGAGCCCAGCAGGGCCGCCAGGACGCACCTGCACGGCGAAGACGGCGGCCACGGGCTTGTGGTCGCTCACAGTGTACTCCATGTGGCTGCAGTAGCAGAGCTGGCTCAGGGCCAGGCTGCCCCGGCCCGGCGGGCACCCGGCGCCTGGGGCCTTGATCTTCCAGAGGATACGGTCCGTCCAGGCTGGCTTGCGCTTCTTGACGCTGGGGGCGCGGAGAGGCAGCTCTCGCGGGGCCGGGGCCTCCACCGCACGCCGCTCGGCACAACCCCCGTCCCAGCGCGTCCTGGCCCTGCCTCCATGCTCAGCTCTCGGCAGGCAAACCAGCACCCATCTCGGCTCCTGCACCCACCGCTTGCAGCCCCGCACAGCTCAAACGCGATCCCCCTACCTGCTGTCGTACTTGTTGGTGCCCACGTCAAACTTGAATGTGGGGGGGAAGTTCAGGGGTCCCTCCTGGAAGCCGCTCAGGACGGGCCAGGTGCTCTTGGCAATGTTCAGCTGAGGGCGAGAGCGAGTCAGGGGGCAACCCGGCCTCGCAGCCGGACTCCACGTGCTGCTGGAGCCCTCCCTGCGCCCAGACGGGCTGCCCCCTTGCTGCCCACCCTGCAGGGCAGGGCACTGCGGGCTGTTCTTGCCATGGGAGCAGCAGGTCTGCAGTCCCGCTGCTCTTCCAGACACGAGGAAGGGATTGCTAGTGGGTGTGCAGGAAAAACACCCCGCGGCGGTGCTGCCCCTTGCCTGGGAAGCTCTCACCCTGTGCATCCCAGAGGTGGCTGGCGACACCATCAGGACATGCCCCGTGACACACGTGGGACCTCCAGTGCATCCCTAGGGACCCACATGGCAGCACAGCAGCTCCCTGGGCTCCCACCTGGTCCTTCTCCCAGAGCTGGCTCAGGATGTTGCTGTCGATGGCGTACTTGACAAAGCGGATGTCGAGGCTCTCGATGCGAAAGTTGAGGTCCCCGAACCAGAACACGAGGCTGGGGATGGAAGGGTGGCGGGTTGGAAGGGCCCGGGCAGCAGGACAGGACACGGCAAGGTCGGGCGGGCGCCGCGGACGCTCGCGGCAGCCGCAATGTAGGTCAGCGCTCAGCCGATAGCTTGGCCGGCCGCCCGACCCG